GAAAACCTATTTTGACCATCACGTCAAAACGGTTGAACCGATCTAAACCCACGCCGCTTTCCGGATACGTTGCCGCCCGACTTATCGCAGCATACTAGAATCCAGTGCATTTTGAACGTGGATTTTCGAAAGCGTCCGTATCCGGATCGAGCCAATCGCAGTTTGGCACACGACAGCAGCAGACAGCATGGCGGCCGAGGACCGCGGAGGTCCGTGGAGCGCCGAAGCGTGGCAGGCCGGGCGCGATTATGCTGGATACGAGGACAAGACGACGGCGTCGCAGCGCGCGTCGTCGGAGCGGCAGGCGTCGGCTTCGCCCGTGTACGAGGACGAGAGCTACCGACGCCCATCGGCGACGTCGGTGCGACGCTTTCAGCTGCATGAGCCCGACGAGCGGCTCGAGCGCATGCACCGGCAGCAAGACAAGCTGCGCTTTCGCCAGGTATACGCGTCCTCACCTTCGAATCAAGGCGAATGCAGAGCTTGTTGTTGTTGCAGATGCTGGACGAACAATTGGAAGAGAAACATGCGCGCAAGGCCAAGGAAGACGCAGCGCGGAAGAAGGAAGAAGCGCCGCAGGTCGAAGAAGGTAGCACATTTGAGGTACACCAAGTTGCATCGAACCGACTGCTGTAGAGCTGCGGTACATCCAGGCCCAGCACATGCGGGCGCAGCAAAAGCTCGGTCACGTCGCAACGCTGCGTCCGCCCAAGTTTGTACCTGGCGCCAAGTTTGCATCGGCGGGTGGTACGACCGCGCTTCCGGCGCCACTGCCCGACCCGCCAACGACCAAGACGAACCTCACGATTCAAACCGTGATGCCGCCGCCCGCGCCCTCGTACAAACAGTCCTCGCCCGCGCGATCCACGAGCTACCACCAGGCATCCTCTACGTACCGACCTCCCACGTCGCCGTACCGGCCAGCTTCGGTCGCACGCCCGATGACGCCTTCATTACCGTCCAGTCATGCGCGATCGGGCAACGAGCACTCGCGCGAGATGCTCTCCGAGGTGCAAGCGCTTCTCGATGAGATTCGTTTTGAGCGCCTCCAGCTCCGCCAAGAGCGAGGTACTCTAGAACCTTTAGATACGTACGTACTCAGTCGGCTTGTGAACAGAGGTCATTGCGCTCGAGCGCCAGCGGCTCGCCGACGAGACGGAGCGGTTCTTATCCCTACAGCGGTCGGCCCCGTCGCCAGTCTACGACCAACGCCCGACCAGCTGGACGCAGTTTGACGCGCACACGCTGTCGCCGACGGCGTCGCACTCGCCGCACAACTGGTCGCCGTACCGATCGACACGGGATGCCGTCCAGGCGCCGTCGCCGCGGAGGCATCGCTTCTTCCAGGACAACGAGCCATCCTATCCTCAGACGCTGGCCCAAGCGGACGAGGACGAGGACGAGACAGAGCTCGGGAACCCGCTGGAGCAGTCGCTCTGCTGCGACAGTACGTTCGTGCCGATCGACAAGCCCTTGTCGACCTTTGTACCGCCGCGCGTGTCGACGCAACCAGCGCCCGTCGTCCTTGCCAAACCATCGAGTATCTCGCCACTGAGCTCGATCGACGAGAACGACCACAACCGCAAGGTCATTCAGACCAGCGGCAAGTACAACTGGGACGTTGCCGACGCCGTCGTACCCCGTCGGTCGGCCGCGCGCAAGCCGATCACCAGTAGCAGTAGTAGCAGTAGTAGCAGTAGCAGCGCCGACCCGTCCCAATTGTTTCAAGTCAAGGTGCTCGTCTAATCGATTGACCATTCGATTCGATAACACGACTCTGATATCGACACCGCCCTGCGCCACCGACGACGCCATGCTGAAGGACCACCGACGCGGAGAGACGGAGGGACAGAGATCGATCCTGAACAGGTCGAGACATGGCACCAGGCCAGTCGAGTGGTCGTCGCCCACGACACTTGATAAATAGATAGATAGATAGATAGATAGATAGATAGATAGATAGATAGATAGATAGATAGATAGATAGATAGATAGATAGATAGATAGATAGATAGATAGCTTGATTGATCTACTGATAGATTGATAGGTAGATAGACCATCGTGATGTGCAATGTTGATGTTAGAGTTTGGTGTCGACCTAACGTGGGCTACAACTGGCACCATCGACGTGCGGTCGACGGTGGGCTCACGAGGCGACTCAACTACAATTGTAGTAGTATCCAAGGGTAAGACCTGGAAGCGACCCGTGACGAGCGGACGTCATCGACGCTGCTCCTGGATACGAGCACGACGACATTGCTGCTCGTGGTCCAAGGGTGCGTCGACGCCGTGAGTGCTTAACGAAATCTTGCAAGCGTCAAGCGTCACGACGCGCGAGGGGTGGAGATGACGCAAGGCCCACGGCAGAAGACCAGACACACGAGAACCTCGTTTCAGACTTGCTCTCGTTGGCGACCGTGTCCAGCGCGGCTCGAAGCATGAGAGATGTTGCTGTTGCCATCCAATTTCGGTTTCCGGACCACGTGGGTAGCGAATCGCAGAGGGAGCGCAGCCCATCCTCCTCTTTGCCCGTTGCCATGCACAGGATCAACAGGGCCTCTTGTCCACAAGTAGATATCTGTCCTCGCATCCGTCCAGCGGTCCGTGTGCCTAGATAAGGTGGTTGGTGCTAGGAATGAAAGCCTCGATATGGGGTTGACGAATGGCGAGTTGGGCTCGTGTTAGAAAGGTGGGCGTTGAAGGGTTACGACGATATTCCGCATTTCGTACTAGACGTGGTAGCCGGGCAGCACTGACTTGGCGTCGAACGAGCACGTGCCCTCGTCGAACGACTGCACGTGGGCGGCCATCTGTGACGTGGCGCAAATCGGGCAGAGCAGGGTCACACAGAGGTCTTCGAGCATCTAGTTCATCACAGTACTACGATGAGCTAAATGCCAGGGCACAACACACGGACGAACCGAGCCAGGAATCTGGAAGACGGTGCGAAGCCGCGACCGAAGCCGGTACATGTACAGCCAGAGCCCCAAGGCAAAGACGATCGCGAGCAAGGTGCCGCCGACGTCGCCGACGATGCAGCCAAGAAAGACGACACCGTGGAAGAGACCCGTGCTGAGCACCTGCGCCACGTACGAAGAGGATGAAAAGCCCATGCGGACGCTGATCTGGGCGAGCGAGATGCACGGGCAGAGCGCACTCATGAGTGCTAAACAAACAGGAGCTTCATCACTCAAACTCAAAAACTCAAAAACGTACTGTTGGGCACGCACGCGCTCCAGCAGCCGCAGAGGTGTTGTCGCCACTGGCGCTGCGGAATGCCATTGTGGTCGACGCCATGGCCACCTTCAATGTCCGGGTACGTCGCGTCGCTGTCGATGATGATGTCGAGCGCTTCCGTCATTGCGATCACTGGCTGCATCATTGTGGGAATGAATCTCAAAATGAAAATGCTCCGGCGGGGCATGCGCGTTGAGAATGGTCGTTACGCCTACCGTACACGGCGAGGGTAGCAAGGACAACCAACGCTAACGCCAGCATAGCAGCATGCTGGCCGTTGAGTGCGCGTTGAAGGACGGTTCGTACGGTACTCGAACCCTTCCTAACAACGTTGGACTAATGACCTTCCACCAAGGGAATTCTTTTTATTCCCTTGCCATCGATGGTTGCAAGACGCAGTGCGTCTACCACCGAGTCCACGCAGGCAATATGAACTCCTCGCAAAGCAAGCACATGTGTGGTCCATGCGAAAGCGGGGGTGCTGCTGGTTCTGGCGGTAGCTGACCGCGAACTCGATACATTGATAGAATCCAGTTGCACCTGGGTTGCCCTCGATTGAAGGCGCATGCTCTTGTAACGAGGTTTTGGCTTGACACACATTTCGGACGTAAGGCAAGACGCAATATGGACTGGCTCAAGAAGACGAAGGCCAAGGTCACGGAGAAGGTCGCCAAGCACCAGCAGGAAGCGAAGATCAAGAAGCAGACCTTCAAGGGTCCGGGCTACTCGCTCCAGGATCCGCCGCCCGCGCCCGGGCCCTCGGCGGCAGCAGCGCCGCCGCCGCCGCCGCCGCCGGTAGGCCATGTTCCTCTTCCATCCAGCCGCTCATGGCAGCGATAGAAGCGGTCGGCCAACGTGACGGACGAAGAGCGTGCGCTTCGCCGAGCGCAGCAGGTGCATGTGCTCGAATGACGTGCATTCCATGGAGCATGGCGTAGGCAGCAGCGGCGCAGCGGCGCGAGTTACCAGCGCCCAAGAAGCGCACGACCTTCAGCACCGAAAACGACGACGACGGCGACGACGAAGATGAGTATGCACCATGGGCTGCAGCTTGTGGACACTAATGGACATCGTAGCGCGGTGCGATCCGAAGCCTTTGAGGCCGCCAAGATGCTAGAGCAGCTCAAGATCGCCGAGAGCGGCTTCAACCCGTACGATTTGCGACACGCACGACGAGCTCAACCGTGGCGTCTAGGTACCAGGCGATGATTAGCAGCTCGACCGAGGGGCGTGGAGTCTCGGTGGGCGCGACCGAAGCCAAGCCGTCGCCGCCCAAGCCCAGCTCGCCCCACGACGAGCTCGTCCCGGCGGCTACAAAGTCAACTCTCGTCAAGCTACTTGAAAACATCCTCTCGAATCCCGACGACGTCAAGTACCAAAAGCTCCGCCTCTCGAACGCTCAGATCCAAGCCAAGATTGCCAGCGTGCCCATGGCCATGGAGCTGCTCGAGCATGCCGGGTACGTCGTCTTCCATGCGCTTCCTTCCCATCCTGATGACATGCGTAGGTTTGATCGCGTCGTGCTGGACGATGGCGAAGACTATCTCGTGCTCAATGCGACGCGGACGTCCACGGAGCTCCTGCAACGGACCCTCGAGACGCTGGGGCATACGAGCTAGACAGATCAAATCTTGAAATCAATTCGCATCCTCCATGTACTAGCACCGCATCGTCCAGACAACGGAAGCACGCCTGCTACGCTGTGTCGAGGTTGGTCTTGAGCTACGTGACGATCGCTCGATGGGGATGCATCTTGTCGAGGATGGGGGGATGTGATGATACAGCATGAAGTAGGGTACGTTGATTAAATTAAGAGGACGCTACGCCGGAAGCGGAACGGGAGCAATCTTGCACACGCGGAAGTGTTTTCGTGACATGTACTTGTCGGTGATGGCCTTGGTTTGACTCGTATCCGTGTGCAAGACGGTGTACTCCTTCTCGTGGATCTTGTGAAGATGATGCACGCACTCCAGGATCTGCACGCCGTTGTACTTGCTATAGTAGTGCAGCGTCGGCGTCTATTGGGATGTGTCTGATGTTAGCCGTGCAATCCATCGCGCGGTGCGAGGTACCCAAAAGGTCGCTTCGCCCGTCACGACGCGGCTCAAGTAGACAGAGGCCGCCGCAATCACTGACGGCTTGAACTTTTGGACGAGAGGGTAGTCGAGCATCGCTAGCTCTGCCACGTACTACACGTGTGGTGAGATGTGGTCATTGCCAGTGCATGGGTCTCGTACATGGGCAAAGTGCGTCTGCACGTCCGTGGAGCAGCCCGCGAGAACGAAGCGCTCAAGAAAGTGGTAGAGATGGGTCGAGCTCACGCGGAACTCGAGCGCGTCGAGGACCATGCTTTCCATCTCGAGCATGCGGTCGCCCGTGTACGTGTGATCCGAGATGTACACGAGGTCTTCGACACTCGGCGCGTGGACATCTTCGTACTTGGACGCGAGGATCATGCACGCGCAGCCCATAAGCTGGAGCTCGCTGCGATGGAGGGTCATACTCGCCAAGCACCGGTCGACGAGGCAGATCGCGAGGTGGAGCGCCTTGGACGAGACCTTGTACTCTTCGCCGACCTCGACGAGCCAGTCGATGAGAATCATTCGCATGCGAGCACTCAGGTCCGTCTTGGCCTCCTTGATGAAGTCGGTCAGCAAGCGGTGTTTGTCGTCTTCGTCCTTGCGGTGGAACTGGTCGATCTCGCGCGCGAGGAGGTCGGTCTCCTTCGTGTCGATCATGACGACCTCGTCCACATAGACGTTGAGCTCAAACTCCGAGTCTATATACACTGCATGAGCATTCTCCATACAAGGAATCATCTTCATCATGGAGCTCGTACTCGATGCGTTCATCTTGATGTCGAAGAGACGCTGTCGTTCCTGGATCGAGAGCTCAGCGGGTACAGCCGCGGGGTCTCAGCAGGTGGCAGGCGGGCGGATCGTCGGAGCTTGACCGGGTTGGTTCCATCGAGCTTCATCTTCTTGCCGCATACCGCTGGAAAGCCCATCTCGTCCTCGGCCCGAGGATGCTTGATGGCATCCTGCGGCTCGACCTGCATGACGTCCCGCGGCTCGGCCTTCATGGCATGACGGGTC